GAACGACTAGCCGAGCCGCGATCTTTCAGGATCTTCGATATACCGTTTTATCCTGTTTCTTCTCATTTCTCGAGTTCGGCCGCTTTTCTGAACCTTCGGACCGAAGGTTGTCGCGTTAACCCCCGCAGCGGGTAGAATCGTCTCCGGTTCGTAGCCTTCTCGGCAACGGGCGAAAAAGTACAGCGGCAATTGAAAGCGCCGTCCGAGGCATCTCCATCGTTCCGTTCGACGAGAAGATCGCGACCACGAGGAGTATCGTAGAACGGCGCGCGTAGGTGGTAGATTGTTCTCGCGAACGAGTTAGCGAAACGAAGAGTCGAAATCTCGTCGCGAACGCGTAGCTGCGCGATAAACTGGGCCGCGGCGTTTCGATATCGCGTTTCTCCCGGCCGCGTCTCCACCTTCGATTCGACTCTCGACGGAAGAACGGTCGGTATTCCTTCCTCGAAATAACGAACGAACGCTTGACCAAATATCATAAAACATAAAAAAAAGAAACGATCGAATTAACGAGCAGTTTTGTTCAAATTCCTCGCAGTCACGGGGCTGGTTTGGTGACTATGCAAATCGATCCGCGATTTTCTCCCTTTTCGTCGCTCGCACGGTTCGGTTAATCCGTTCGTCGCGTCGTTCGAGGAGCCGAAAACGGTAAAAGATGCGAGTGTCCGAAGAATCTGTCATCTTTTGGTCAGTCCGCGAAACGAGAAAGAATCGAATATAGAAAGAAGAGAGAATCGGACCGAATTTTTCTCGATCCGTAAACCCGTCCGTGTCGGAGCAGAGGCCGCGCGCATATGTGCCAAGGCTGTACGCGAGCGTGTAATAAGTACGTAGAGCGGAGCACGCGTCGAAAATCGTCCACCGCCTTTGCATTTCAGCTTTCGTCCAGAAAACATTCATCGCGTGAACAGGTGAACGTTTCGAAGAAACGACGAAAACGAAATTATAAAACGGAATATTCGTCTCTAGGTCACAGCCGAAACGACGTACTTTTCAGCTAACGAGAACAGGTTTTCGTTTTTACGTCCCCGTAACTCGAGTTGAAAACTCGACGAGGGTTCGCGTTTTCGTCAACGACCTCCCTTTGCCTGCAATAATGATTCGTTCTCGCGAAGCTACAACATTTTTGCCAGAAACTGGAAATAACATCGATTCCGTTAAATGGAACACTCGAATCGACCGATCGATCGGCCGAGAAACGGGTCGAGACGGGTTTTTTGGACGCCGCTGTATTTTCGACCGATTAATCCATACACCGACACACTTTCGTCTTTTTTCCACGATTTCGAACATCTACTATCGGAGAAACGGAGGACCGTTTAACGATCGAGCGTCGCTTCCGTTATTTCCTCGGAACTAATCCCATAATTTCGGCATATTATTTTTTCTATCGTAAATAATACTCGTTCGAATACCGGTAAATTTACAGGGTACGGAAAGAAAGTAGAAGCCTTCCGTTCGCGCATATTTTATCGGAAATTATACGGGATCAGGATCCGAAGATCCGATTAAAAAAATCGTGGAAACGAGGTTGAACAACGTAGTCGATTACGACATAGAAATTCCCAGTTTCTAATTTCCAGCGAACGAAGGTAAGTGTACGCGCGGTCGGGACCCGTGCTCCAATTACGCGCTCGATTATTCGAGTAAATCGATAAAAGTCTCTACTCGGAATTATCACGGAAGCTATCGGACGCGTTATCTAATTCCTTTCGAGATACCAATGACTTAATTAGACGCGTCAACGAATCGGTAATCGGTCAAAATATAGATTGTAAGAACATTAGTAACGTTCGTACGACATCCGTACCGGTCGATCGAAGCGATTCGTCGGCAAATTATCGGAAGTTTCGGCGCGTCCAACGCGTCACGGTGCTTTCGCGATGACGGCGCAAACGACGAGAAGCGTCTACGAAGAAATCGGCGAGAGCGTACCTTGAAGCGTGTTTCTTACGCAAGTCCGCGGTTCGGCGCGCGGAATATGTAAGGACGAGCGAGGAAACGAGCGAACGCGTCACAGCTACCGCTACCTCTGATCGACCTAACAAAAATTTTGTTTGCGACGCGTACGCGAACTCGTGATACCGCGGACGGGTTACGCAACCGCTCGAGCCACGTGCGACAGATAGAATAAAAAAATACGCGACGTCGTCGTCGTCGACGCGATTTCGTCGTAGTTCGTTTCCTTTCGAACATTCGGTCGTATCAGATTCGCGGTGCCGATCACCGGTAAGCCCATGGGCAATCGACGCGTTAAATGTCACGTCGCGATCAAACGGAACACGCCGTGATCGAAACGCCAACGCTCTATCTATCCATCTACTCGCGGTACGAGAGCACGCAAGGGGGTGGAACGGTATATTACCGAAATTACGGGACAAACGTTCGTAGCAACTTTTCTTCAAAGAAAATTACTCGCGATATTATGCCCTGTATTATTAATCGCGTCGACATGGATCTCTCGCTTCGTTCGATCAATATATTTTGCCGCGATCAAGGTCATCCAGTCGTAAACGCTATCGTGTCGCGTTTCGTGGCATAGATCGAAACGGTTACGATACATCGTTGCCTAATTGTTCGAACAAACAGCGACAAAGTAAGATTCACAAATTTTCGCGACATTTGTCCCGTTGTCTACGACACAAATCGAACATTTCTATCGGTAAGAGTCATCGACGACTTTGTCGGCTAGATGACGCGCTCTCTCTCTCTGTCTCTCTCGCGCGCGCGCGCGCGCGCGCGCGCGCGCGAGC